TGATCAAAACCGAAAGTTTCTGTGATGACTGCCCTTGTACTGTTCACCATGTAAGAATTTATTCACTATGTAAGAATTCGTTCACCATGTAAGAACTTGTTCGTTATGCTTCAGAAGATTGGAGACTGACGAGAATTAGGCTTGAGATGGATTAATGATTGTACATTGAGCATTGACTCCCCTATACAGAATTTTATTGTTGTTAACAACCATTTGATCAATAAATATGAGAGATGCCCTCTCAAAAAAAACCAAAAAACAAAACAAAACAAAACAGAATTTTCTGATTAATGATGTTTATATGATAAATCAGTGACCCAGGCAAGATTCCAGGAGTTAACATCCTTTATTCTTTAATTATTATTTTCATTACTTCAATTGGATTAATTTATATTTCTAAATATTTGATCTATCTCACAATATTTTATTCACTTATACAAACTTATTCATACACACTAATATGAAACCTGTACAAAGGGGTTATCACATTGGGCCCAGAGTATTCAACTCCTGCTCTTTTATCTAACAGCTAGTTAGAAGTAAGTATTTACATAGCATGCACTAGGTATAATCACTGCTCTAGTAACTGTAGGTGACATAAGTGACATAAATGAAATAAAAAATGGCCTTTGTCATAAAAGTACTTCTGTAGGTAGACAAAGTGGAAGAAATGTTCAAGTAAAAATGGAAAAAAAATCTCACCAATGTGTAGAATGGTAACAACTACAATTTGCTGAGTGCTTACCATAGGTAAGGCACCGTGCTTAGCCCTTGACATGTAACAGTATTTCATTCACAACAGCTCCACTTCACAAATGTGAAAAACAAGGCTGGGAAACCTCGGTTGCTAGAAACTGGTATTCAAACCCACATCTGACACCAAAAGCAGGCTCTTAACTATATAGTACGACTTGCCTCATAAAAGACTAAGGGATGGCATACTTATTTTCCTTTCCTTTTAAAAATCTGTTATCTGCTATTTTATTTTATTTTTTTCCAGATTTATTGAGATACAACTGACATACAACATTGTGTAAGGTGTACAACTTGTTGATTTGATATACTTAGATATTGAAAATGATTATCACCATAGCACTAGTCAACACCTCTGTCACATCACACAATTACCATTTCTTTTTGGTGGCGAGAGCATTTAAGATCTACTTTCTTAACAACACTGCTTTACTTTTGCAAACCTCTTGACAACTAGAATGACGGTACATGTATCTCTGTATCCCCTGGTATCTCGCACCACGCAGTGGTCACGTTCTAAATGTTCCAACTTCCCCACCTACACTTGGTGTGCAAGATCTTTTCTAAAAGGAGGAGCATAAGGTAATGGAATTCAGGCACTTTTCTCATGCTTTGCATACACACTAAACCCTTGGTGCTTCCCAAGCTGTTCCATGCCTCTGGGATCTTTCACATGATTTTTGTCTCAGCCTACCCCCTGTAACTTTAAGAGTCAACTCAATCTTCTCTTCTGTGGAAGAAACTTTCCCTGACCTCCCTTGTGTTTTGCTACATCTGGTGTCCTACCTCTTCATAGCCCACATTGTACTGTATGTAGTGTGTGTGTGTGTGTGTGTGTGTGTGAGAGAGAGAGAGAGAGAGAGAGAGAGAGAGAGAGAGAGAGAGAGACAGAGAGAGAGAGAGAGTTTATAGGGAAGCCTGAAAGGAGTTCATTGCCATCTGGTGGGGGAGATAAACGTGTAACGTGGCATGTATCTTATAACCATGGCAGTGTAGATGCCCAAGGCATCTCATGTGTAACAGAATATTTACTGAGTGCATTATAGACAATCAATAAGTGATAACTTTTATATTAGGAGACGGTATAATTTAGTGTATAAATGGTATAATTTAGGGGAGAAAAAATTTTCCTCTATATTCTTAGGGTCTCCGGCTGGGTCTGAAAACTAAACTGACACAGATTAGCAGTCCTAAAGCCCACACATTTATGTAATATACATTTTACATGACCCGAGTCTTCATAAGGAAATGAAGCCCTGAAGAAACAGTCAGACCTGAGTATTTTTATGTTAAGTTTAAGGAAAGGTGGGCGGCCATGTAGAAATAAGATATATCAGGAAGTATGAGGTAATCGCAATGAACTGGGGGAAACAGCCTGGCCTGTTTGCTAGGATTCTTCTCAGAGCCTCTTTGTCTTGGGAGATAAGAATGTTCCTCTCCTCCAAGTAGAGGGAGGGCACCTCTCCCAGGAGGTTTTATGGCCTGTTTAGAGGAGGATGGTGGTCAGGGAAAAGGTCAGAATGCTTTTCTTGCCTCTACTGTTTTTTCAAATTCCTTCAGCTTAAAATATGCAATATGCTTCAGTGCCATATTTTGGGGTAGCATGTCCTGAACTCATCATTTGTAAGGCATTGCTTAAATTGCCCCATAAGAAATTTGAGTATTTGAATAGCTGCTCCATGAAAAAAAGGGTTTGGTGGTCAAATTAGTTTGATAAATTCAAGGTTAAATAAAGTTAAATTTTCTAATGTGTGCTTTAATTTTTCCCTGAAATACTTCTTAAAACTCTAAATGTGCTGATGATATGCACTGTGAATCCCCAAAAGTGAATCTTGCATGCAACTTTTCCTAATCATTTTTGGCCATAGAATTTCTCCTTCTCTATGCACCATAGAACCCAGTGTGGAGACACGGATTTCATGGTTGAGAGTAAAGTATACTAATGTCATCACATATTGCTTGATTTCTGGGTCACTTTTTCAAGCCTTAATATGCTCATCTGCAAAATGGTTATAATACCTATACCTCATATTGTTGTTGGCAAAATAAAAATGTTTATAAAATGCCTAGGTATCCTCAGTAAATGTGGCAATTATGATGGTTAATAATATGTCCAGGAACTGAGTATTCATCTTTAGTGTCCTAGCACTTCGCAGAGCACTGGGTCTGAAGCTGGGTTGAATTCAGAGTGTTACTCAGGAGCGTTTAGCATGGAGGTGGCCGAAAAGACCTACACCTGTATGTACCCTTTGCCCTATTTTCAGGATCTGAGTATTAGATCAGTCCTGTTCTGGCCACGGTCCTGTTGCTTAATATCTTCTTATAAAAAGAAAAAAAAAGATAAAAGAAGAAATGAGGTATGAAAACATAGAGTTCATGTTCTCTAAAACTCTAAGGTAGAACAGAAATAATCCTCATGTTGGAATAGATGGAGTTTTTGTTTATTCTAACTGGCTGATGACAAAACTGAAGTCATGTAACCACTTTGGTTTTTTCACTTAGAAAGGCCATTTTAAACATGGATATTCTTGATAGAAAGGATATTGGCTTTTGTTAATATGTTATTTTTAGACCACTACATCAGTTATTATATATGACTGTATAGGAGTATAAACTAGAATTTATGCCTGGAAATCATTTTGATATATCTCTGCCCTGACCTCCATGAGAAAATGCAGCTGAAAGGAGGTTCTTTGTGTAGAAATAACAAACACTGCACTTCTTGAAATAAACCAGATGTTTTTATTTTCAAAGGAAAGGATCACACCTAGTGATTTATTTATTTACAAGCTTCATAACAAAATATTAGAAGAAAACGTTCAAGGGACTTGGGTCATAGAAACCAGCTGAACATCACAGCTTTGCCAACTTCACTGAGGTGAGGAGGGTTTTGCAAAGGACACGCAGAAAAGTTCATCTTGTCCTGATGTTAAAAATTAGTAGATTAAGGTTCTAACGACTCCTGCTTTGACCTTATTCGGTTTCGATCCACTTTTCTGACAATATGTCCAGTAATATACCCACCAAAAAGAATGTTTTTTAAAACATGTCCTAAAATCAGTGTTTATGCAAACTTCAGGAATACTATCAGGGTAGATGACCTCAAAACAAAAACAAAACAACCATTTAATCTACTTATTATTTATTTAATTGAAGTGTAACTGACATACAATATCCTATTAGTGTCAGGTACTCATCACAGAGCTTCCATAGTTTTACATATTAGGAAATGCTGTCACCATACAAAGTTATTACAGTATTATTGACTATATTCCTTAGGCTGTGTATTACATTCCCAATACTTATTTTATATTTGTAAGTTTGTACCTCTTAATCCCCTTCACCTGTTTTGTCTGCCGCCCAACCCCTCCCGGCTGTGGTAACCCACAGTTCGCTGCAAAACAGCGGGTTTTAAAAATCGAAAGTGAAAATAGTTCGACTTGTTAGTGATTGGTTCCTGTAGACACCAGATTTAGAATTCTGAACAGTTTGTTTTAAAGAAAATCACCATTGAGCAGAGTTTTCTTTTCCTCTTTTTTTTTTTTTTTAAAGAAAGCAAACTGTTATCCTGGGCGAGACCCTCCCCGGGAAGGCACCCCGAAGCCGCCGGGGACTAACGGGGTCCGGCGGAGCCAGCCAGGGCCGCGGGGGTTCCGGCGCGCCGCCGCGCGGGGCTTCCGGGAAGGGCGCGGAGCTGCGCGGGGCCGGCCGAGGCGGGTGAGTGCGGCGCGCGTCCCCGGGCTGCCGTCCCTGCGGCTGGTCGCCCCGGGGAGCGAGGCCCGGGTGGGACGGGCCGCGGGGCCGGGGACCGCGAGGCGCGGCGCGGGGCTGAGAGCGCGCAGCGGCGGCCCCCTCCCGTCCCGTCCGCTCCCACCGCGACCCTGCGGCGCCCGCGGCCCCGGCGCTCCGGCGACGCTGTCAGCCGCCGCGGGGGCGGCCCGCCCCTGGGCCCCGACGGCCTCTCCGCGCAGCCCGGGCCCCTGACCGGTTTCTAAAGCGCGCTCTGTTTCATTTCGGAAATCGAAACTTAGAATGGTTTGTGTTTCCCCGCTGCGCTCGCGGTGTCTCTCCAGAAGGTTCTGGGGAGCGCTGGCCCCTTAGGCTTTGCTCTTTCTGGCAGGTGTAGGGGTTTGGCAGTCGAGCTTTACATTTTAGAATTTGCAGGGGTTTTCTTGAAAGAGACATTCAAAGACGAATACTGTTTTCCTGTCTATAGAGCATGCATGAGTTAAAAAAAACTGTAACTGTATGTATGTATCACCATTTTATTAATCGTCACCTGCTTTCTTCCTTCCCTTCATTTCCTTGCCTTTTGCTGCCAGCCGTGCATACGGGAAGATGCAGCTGTCAGGCCTGGCACCACAGCGATATGAGTATATGGGGAAAATAGGTGGTAGGTGGGTGGTGGTGATTTGTATGGGCTTTTAATGCGCTGCCATAACAAACTGTCAGCGATTTAGTGGCTTAAAAGCCACACATTTTATCTTTAAATAGGCTAGAAGTCTTACCTGGGCTAAAATAAAGGTTTCTGCAGGTCTGCCTTTTCTGGAGGCTGGTGGTGGTGTGTGTGAATCTATTTTTGTTTTTATTTTGCCCTTACCAGCTTCTGTTAGTTGCCCTCCTTGGTTCAGTGGTGCCCTTTCTCAGTCTTCAAAGCCAGCAACGTTGCATCACTCTGACCATTGTTCTGTTGTCACATCTCCCTCTGACTGCTCTTCTACCTTCCTCTTTCACTTGAGGACCCTGGTGATTACACTGGGCCCCATGGATAATTCACACTGATCTCCAGTTTTAAAGTCAGCTAATTAGGAACATTAATTCAATCTACAACCTTAATTCAACATTGCAGTGTAATTTAACATACTCACGGATTCTTGGGATTAGGACGTGGGCATCTTTGGAGGGTCATTATTCTGCCTACCATCTGACTGCATGAAAGGAACCCTATTGATGTACATCCCACTCATGCAAAGAGGGAGAATATCGAGATGCTAAATATGCTGAAAAAAGTTCTGGAGGTATTTTGTAATAGACCATTTATATGAGTTAAATAAACTGAGAGCGTTTATTAGGAGCTCTGAAGAAAACTGACCTTTAGAAATGTAACTAAATAATGTTGCAGTTTTTCTGATAATGTAGTAAGAGAAGTTTGTAAGCATGACATACCCTGAGCAGAATAAATACCTGAGTCAAGATACCACACAATTCTATAAATATTGAGTGTTTCACTGTGTAAATTGTACTCTGAACAGATGCAAGGAGGAGTGGTTATCATCCTGGGCCTCAAGGTCATGACCATTTATTTAGTCATTGAAATTAACAGGTACACAAATCCTTAAAGCTCCCCAAAAGAGGTAAAAGAGGGAGAAGTAATGTCCTCTGGGGGAATCATTAAAGACTTAAAAGAACTTGCGGGAAATTTGGGATGAACTTTGAAGAACCATATGATTTCATTAGGTGGAAATTAAGGTTGGGAGGGGAGGAAGGATGTAACATTGAGGGGCAGAAGGGAGAATAGGGACCCTTGAGTGTTGAGTATGGTTAGGAACTTACTTTATGAGTTGTTGAAATAAAGTAGGAAGTACTTTGGGGTTAGATTGTGTAAAACTTTGGACGGGTGTCCAATGCTGTTCTCAGGATTCTGCAGTTGCTGATGCAACAGGGAGCTACTAGTATTTCTATTTTGAAACTGTCTCAAACTTACAGAAAAGTTGAACATACAGTGCGAACAACTTTTATTTTCGCCGAGTTATTTGAGAATAAGTTTCCAACTTTATGATCTAATACCCCAGAATTCTGGAGTATTTCCTACAAAAAAGGTGTCTCTACATAACCATAGTATGGTGATCAAAATCTAGAAATTAATATTGATACATTACTACCATCTAATCCTTGGATTCAGTTCCGGTTTTGCTAGTTGTCCCAATAATACCCTGTATAACAAAAGGATCCAATTCAGAATTATGTATTGCATTTAATTAGTGATGTCTCTCTTGTCTCCTGTGTAGAACAGTTTCTCAGGCTTTCCTTGGCTGTCATGACCTTGACACTTTTGAAGAGAACAGGCCAGTTTGTCTAATGTTTCCTTAAACTGAGATTCAGATTATGCATCATTGGCTGGAATATCATAGAAGTCATACTGTGTTCCCAGTGTACCCTATCAGATGGCAGATAATTTTGATTTATCTCATTTACTTTGCTTATTTCATTATGGTGGTGTCTGCCTGGCTTCTTTACTGTAAGTGACTCTTTTCCCCTTTGAAATTAATAAATATTTTGTAGGGAAGTATTTTGAAGCTAAATGGTCCTTTCCCCAACAAAATTTCAGTGCATTTGTTAGTTTGTTTTGTGTAAGTTAGAATGGAGTCATAGTCTTCTATTTTATTCAGTGAATTTAATCACTATTGTCATTATTCAATTTATACTTAATTTCTTCCCAGATTTGGCCAGTGAGAACCTCCTCAACTCAGTGGGCCTTGAGAACTCTGTCTTGAGCAGTCCACCTTGGTCTATCAAGGTGATTTTGTTTCCTTCTCTAATAAAGTGCAGTGTTTGTTTGCACACTCCTAAATCTCCATGTTAAATTCTTTTTAATAAATGAAGATGAGTACCATGAACCTGTAGTGTCTGCCAGTAACAAAAATACCTATGCCACTGTGTGACTTCTGTCAAGGTACTATAAATGTTTTGTGGCTTGTTGCCTATATTTGTAGTTGAAGGGAATGCAAGATTTCAATCTGAGGTTCTTAGAAGTAAAGATAATTTTTTTCCTATCCAAATGTGTAGACTGGGAAGGGTTTGTGAAACCTCCATATAAGATGCCCTGTACAGGTAGAGGAGAATTTTTACTCCATTTACATCTGGGGAGTACAATAGGGAGAATTAAATATTTAAATCAAAACCTTTTAAAAAGGCTGAAGACCAATATAGTAGCCTTTTAAAATGGAGTATCGTATTATGATTGAGATGTGAACTGCAAGGAATGTTGATACCTTTTATTTTCTAGTTTTGTGTTGAAAGGCAATGGATTTTTAGAACCCTTTTTATACATTTATAGGTATGAAAGTTATTTGAAATATAGAATTTGTTTGGGTATAAGTCACCTGATACTAAAGATTGGAAAAAAGTTACAGCAAAGGAGATGTTTCTTCTGTAAAAGGGTATAAGTTGCTATTTCTTTTTTAATTTGTCTATATATGCTATTTTACGGTATTTATTTCTTATAATAATTAGAGAATCATGGCAGCTGATGGAGGTAACAAAACACAAGTTCTTAAGGAGCATGGAGATGAAAAATTTTCCAAAGATGAACAAAAAGAGGTAAAAAGGAAAAACTACTGTGTATTATTAAAAATTAGTTTCTATCAGTGTGCAGTAAGGCATATTTTATATGTCTTTGTTCAACATTACCTTAGATTTGGGAGCATATTAGGGTTTTCAGAATTTCTGTGCTCTATTATTTAAGCCTTACTAAAAAATCATATTTCTATTCTTTTTTTTAGAAACTTTCCACATTAGCTGCTTTTACATTCCCTCTCTCATTTCTTTGATTTGCACCTAGAAGTTAGGAGCTTAGTTAGGAATGGTCTGATTAGACCCAAGAGGGAATGGAGTCTCAGGAAGCTTACACCCAGAGCTACATATCTGGTATGGCAGCTGTAGTATGTGAATCACAGCAAAAGTTTTTTTAATTGCTCCAGAGTAATGTGTGTAGTTACAGTGCAATTTAAAAACCATATTGTAGTCACAAATAGTTAGGAAAGGAGTTGCTAGAGCACTGAACTAAAGTAAGATTCAGAAGATCTGGGGATCAGATCTTTGCCCTACCATAAAAAATTTCTGTCTTTGTTCAATCCTTGCTCTACCATAAAAATTTCTGTGACTTTGGAACCCAAGAATGGACTAACAGTTACCAAAGGGAAAGGGACTGGGGAGGATGGGTGGGAAGGGAGGGATAAGGGTGGAGAAAAAGAAAGGGGGCATTAGGATTAGCATGTATAATGTAGGGGGGGCATGGGGAGGGCTGTGCAACACAATGAAGACAAGTAGTGACTCTACAGCATCTTACTGCGCTGATGGACAGTGACTGTAATGGGGTTCGTGGGTAGCACTTGGTGAAGAGGGGAGCCTAGTAAACATAATGTTCTTCATGTAATTGTAGATTAATGATGACAACAACAACAAAAAATTTCTGTGACTTTGGTCTAGTGTGAAAGGCAGGCTCTTTGTATAATGGCGGTAATACTTGCCAGTGGTAGGAGAATCGACAGGTGATGATGTAAAACTTCAACAAATGTATTATTTACATGAACATGTTTATTTTGAGACTGTCTAATATCCATGTTTGCCTTGCTCAGGGTGAGAGAAACTTAGCTTCTTTAATTTATTTAGAAAAATGAGGTCAGGAGCTGTTTGATTTTTTTCAGAGATTAATTTGTAAAATTGTAAAGGAAAATACTCAGTTAAAGGAAGAAATCCAAAAGCTTGAAGCTGAGTTAGAAGAGGCCGCCAGAAACTTCCAGGTACCTTTAATTATTTTATGTATCACATCTTAACTGATACCATTTTTCAGGAAAACGCAACTTGATTATTCAAAATCCACTTTTAAAACATATGGTCATCCCTGGCATACTGTTTGTAATAGTCCCAAATTGGAAAGAACCCAACTGTCCCTCCATGGTGGAATGAATCAATAAAATGGATGCCTTCACACAATGGGAATGAACAGACTACAGCTTTATGCAACAACATGGGTGGATTTCATGAACAATGTTGAGCCAAAAAGAGATAAAAGAGGACATAACACATGCTTCCATTGAAAGCACAAAAGGGGGGTGTTATAAGTTAGCAGTGTCGATACCCTTGGGGGCACATAGGAACTGGAAGAGAAACCAAGAGGGCTTCTTGGGTGTTAGATATGTTTACTGAGTTGGCCGCATGTGTGTGATCACTTGGTAAAATTTTATCTTGCTGTATACACTAAGGAGAATGCATTAAAAAAAATATATGTATATGTTTCTATAAAAACAAGGCATGATGGTTATTATCAATCACTCTTGGATCAAATTCTTGGTCTTCTACGTTTTTATTACTGTTTCCTCATCCAGGTAATTTAAATGAACTTCACAGTTAGAAAAAACTGGACATATATTTTCATCCTTTAAATTTGGACATATATCTTCATCATTTAAATTGTCTCCTAAATTTTCCTGTGTTTGAATTAGATGTAACTTTTACCCTTTCCTCTTGACGGCAACTCATATTGTTTTAAAAAAATGCTTTTTTAAAACAACTTAGATACTTAAAGCTTTGTCACTTTTTGTTTCTGAAATGGGGGGTAGTATGTTGAATATCAGGAAGTGAGATTCCCCGTGTTTATGAGGTGTAGAGAAGACTCCATTTGGACTCTGGTTACCTTTTAGATGGGAGTCAGATTCATTTAGTCTTTTGACTCAGTGGGCCTTGAGAAGTCATCCAGCTCAGTTGGTCCCCTTTGCAGAGGACCGAAACCATGGTCCAGAGAGGTAAGTGAATTGCTTTCTGCCACAGTGTGCTCAGGACTAGAATCAGACACCCTCACTCCAGAAAGCTCTTGACTTCTCAGAGTATACTGGATAGTTCCACATGATATCCAGAAAAACACTCTGCCTTTCCTCAGACATTGCAGATTGTTTTGAAATCAGATTTATGGTATCAGAATTCTACTGAAGCTACAAGTAAAGGTAGAGAATAAATGTAAGATCAGATCAAATAGCTCACTGAATATTTCTAATTCCTTTAAGATAACATTTTTAATTTCAGCCTGTAAAACACGGCAAATAGAAATGCAAAAACCTGATTTATTTGTGCTTTTATATGTAGTTGTGTGTCTGTTAATTCCATTGATTTGGAGCAACTAAGTATAACCACTTACCTTTATACTCCAGATTATAAATCCTGTTGATAGTGTCCCTCCCCATTTTTATAAACCTAAGTTTAGTAATGGTTAAAAAGCTCATGGGCAGGTATTGGGGAAGGGGTATTAAAATTGGTAAGTTTTAAATCATGTAATTCAGAATCTTTCTTTTTGGATGAAACTATCTGGGCTTGCTGTCAAAATAACCATAGTAGGCACCTGACTCTATTTTATACCTCTTTTCAGTGAGAGTAAACATACTGCCTAATGATTCTCTTATAAGATAGCCTGTTATTGCTTAAAAGGTACCTATCTGCAGAAATGATGTAGGCTTTAGAATCTAACACCAGACAATACTGACCAGTATAAACATTCATTAGAAAAAGTGAGAGATTATATACTTATAATTTCATCTGTGAAATAATATTAAAGGGTCAGCATCAGGTTACATTACTGGGCAGTTACCTGGGAAGAAGGAATGGAGAGGTTCTGAAATCAGTGGAGAATGAATTATTTGATGATCAAATCACATTCTCACTGGAAGGACTTAAGTTATTTCTTGTCTTGATTTTAATCAAACATTTCTGTTTGACTTAGATTAAAGTGGATATTCCAGCAATACAGATGAAATTCACATCCTCAGAGAATCCTGAGAAGGACAGCCAGTTTTTTAACACCTCTTGTTTATTTCAAGTGAGCTCCCAAGTTTTTTATGAGCTACGAAGAGGACAAGCGCTTATCACATTTGAAAAAGAAGAAGGTGAGACTAATGTTAACAAATTTTACCATATTACCTTTGGAAAGAACGTGGCCTTTCAAAGAGCTTTTGTAGATGTTTGGCTCTTGCTTTGCAATTTTTACGTTTCGTTTCATCTCATTTCATAATGACACCCTGAGGCAGGTATGATTATCCCCATTTTACAATGAGAAAACTGAGTTTAGCATGGTAAGTGACATGAATATGATCCCTCTTTGGAAACCTCTGGGTTGTGATGTCTAATACCAGAATCTTTCTGCTTCACCTGTTACCTCCAAAAAATACTAGCAATCATGTTTTAAGGTAGTAGAGGTCTACACAGTTCTCAGAGAGTTCTCATGGCGTTGTCTTGTTTTGTACTCACATAACTGAAAACAATAGGAGAGGAGAGTTACTATTTACATTTTGTAGTTAAGGAAACAGAGTCTAGGTGTTTAAATGATTAACTTTAATGGCACATGACCAGTGAATGGAAAGGGCCCAGGAGTCAGATATTTGGGATAGAGCCCAATTTGCCAAGTCTGCCCTGGTCTAGGGCCCTGTTCAGAGCTAGGGGGAGCTCCTTATTGAGGCAAATCGGATTTGAGTGCCAGCTTTGCCCCTTTCTAGAAGTGTGATTTGGGTGGGTTTCCTTATAAATCTCAGATTTTTATGACAGGTTTTGTGGTAGTACCTACCTCATGGAGTTGCTTTGAGTATTAAATGAGAAATGTTGATAATATACTTAACGCAGTATCTGAAACATAATAAATATTTACTTAATAAATGTTAGCTGTCATAATTGCTACATGTTAGGAACTTTCCAGATAAGAAAACAGAGGCTTAAAAAAGGATACAAAACTTGCTCAGGGTTGTACAGTTAATAAATTGTAGAGCTGAGAGCCACACTCTGAATACCCACATACTTTCTGCTGGGCCAACTCCCCACACCCCCCAGCGGGCTGCCGTCTTGGGCCTCCATTCTTATATTCATCATGTTATGGGATGGGGCCAGGTGGTCTTCACAAGCCCTTCCAGGGCTCAGATTCTGAGAATCTATAATAACTTGTGTCTCCTCATGCCTGGTCCATCACTATACCTGAAAATAAATGGTAAAAAGGACATTCTAACAGGCTAGTACGTGCATACCACTCGTTCACAGCAGGTCCACCCTGCTTAGGGTGCAGGAGGAGACCAAGAGCCGTGGTGACAGTTGGCAGTGGGGATTGGGTGGGACTGAAAGGCAGAAGTGAGGATTTGTGAGGCAAGGATTCTGCACCCTGGGAATGCTGGGAATAGGGTTCTCTTCACAAACAGCTGATTCTCTGCGTTTTAGGAATAGCTCTTGGTCTAGCCCTTGGCATAGCTTGGAGGTCTTGGTTTCCTGGGACAACTTTGGGTTTATACACAATTAAATAAGAGTTGGCTTTTGACAGTGAAGAGTCACAAAAGTTGAGACACAAGTGGTGTTTCTCAGCTGCGTCACATCACCAGATGTTGGTGTTTGGGTGGAGGGTGTGAGAGAGAAAGAGCATCCTCTAAGTATTACTTTATTGGTATTTTCTGTTACTATGGCCTGTTGTCATTATCAGAAAAAAAAGTCATAATTCAAGTCATAGAGTCCTATCGTGGTGTGAGTGTGAATTCCCACATGATGACGCCCTGCCCTTTAGCCTGGCTCCTCTCCTCCTGCGACCGTGGTGTGCTCTCTGGCTGTCATGAACACATGTGAGGTTTGTCAGATTGGGAGAGGGGATCTCTTATCTTCATGACGAATTAAAGTAAGCAGCTCCAAATATTAACAATTGGAGTGCTGTAAGCTCTCATATCACACAATTAAAAATAAACATACACTCACATTTTAAACTAAAATACAGTTGCTGTTTGGAGTTCTAATGATTTTTGACAAAATTATATTGTTGAGTCTCTCCCATTTTGCATGAATGAATCAGAATTGATGTTTTGATCAGTATAGCAAGGCTACCAGCTTTTGGTAAGTGATCTCCCAAGTATTTTAGCAAAAATAAATTTCTCCTTATATGGCAAAAAAACCAATACCCCACCTCACTCTTTGATGTTCAAGCCTATGTAGTGTTTAATATATAATTTTTAGGAAAGGCAGAGACAAAAATGAATATTTCTATGGTGTGTATAACATATTAAGTAGTGACATATGATAGATAAAATTGTCAGAATGGACTGACCCACAGAGGATTTCCCAGCTTACTCAACATGGAAGAAATTTCTGGCTGTGCTTTAATATACTAAGAGAATTCTCTGGAAAGGAAGGGTGTGTAGCTGTAATGAAATAATACATGTATATCTGGAGAATTAGCAGGCTAATGTCTTAAGAGATGAATCTGGAGCAGGAGGATTTCTTTTTTTTTTATTAAGGTATTATTGATATTCACTCTTATGAAGGTTTCACATGAGAAAACAACATAGTTCCTACATTTACCCATATTATCAAGTCCCCACCCACACTGCAGTGCAGCCACTGTCCATCAGTGTTGTAAGATGCCACAGATCCACTATTTTGGAGCAGGAGGATTTCTACGTTGCAATTTTTGCTGATGTATTTTGACATTAATGTATCCTACTTCACTGAAAAGATCATATTCATTTGGAAATCCTAAGAAAATTAAAAAATTAGATCCTTTAAAGACTAGTTAAAATATTCAGGATAATTTATTATTAAACTGAGAATAAAAGATTTATTGAAGTAATGGAAATTTATATTTCCCAAATTATTTTTCAGTTGCCCAAAATGTGATCAGGGTGGGGAAACATCATGTGCAGATAGAGGACTCAGAGGTGGAGGTGATGGCCAACCCCGTTCCATTAAACTCTGGAGTCAGATTCCAGGTAACACTGTGGATTAAAGTTTTTTAGGATTTGTTAAACATGAACACTTTTCTTATCCATATTTCTGATCATGAAACAATTTCCCAGCTTCCCGTAGACGTGTCTAAAATGAAGATCAATGTTACTGAAATTCCTGATGAGTTGCCTGAAAATCAGATGAGAGACAAGCTAGAACTGAGCTTCACTAAGTCCCGAAACGGAGGCGGACAAGTGGAGTGTGTGGAGTATGACAAGCAGTCCCAGAGCGCCGTCATCACATTTGTGGAAATGGGAGGTATGCACACATTTAGAAAGTCAAAAAAATACTCCACTGCTTATATTATGTTTTACCATTGCTGATAGTATTCCTTTTCTACTTTTTTTATTTTGAATTTATTAGTCAGTATAATAATAGGGCATGTTTTTTAGCCTTATAAAAGGATCAAGTCCTAAAAATGATTTCTGAGAATGCTACTGGGAATGATAATATTATAAATAGCACATATGTAAATCTTAGGGCATTTTCATCACCTGCCTGGTGTTATATACATACATCTTCATCTGATCCCAACATAACTCTGTAGGTAGGTGTTATAGTTACTTTATTGATGAGGAAACTGAGGCCTAGGGAGTAAAGAAACTTACCCAATATCACACAGTGGGTTTGTGGCAGAGAAATTTTAAAGTATATCTATCTGTCTATCTCTGTCTCTACCTCCTACCTATTATGACTGACAAAGAGGGAATCTATTCCAGTAAAGTGGAGGGGAGAATGGAAAGAACAACTTTCCATGCACACACACACACACACACACACACACACACACAATTATATGTATATATGTAATACATATGTTTTATAGTAATACAGTTATTTACTATGTATGTGTGTATGTATGTGTGTGTGTGTGTGTGTGTGTGTGTGTGTGTGTATAGTAAAATATATAGAGACAATATCCAAATACAGTTTTCATTTTCACTCTTGAAAAACTGGGGGACTTTCAGACTTGTTAGGCTGGGTGGGTTACTTTTTGCAGATGGTTATTGCACTTTATGTAGCTCAAGGCAGGTCTGTTTGGGGGCATCGTAGCCCTCTGTGCATTGCAATGAACTGACTGCAATGAACAGTTCAAGTTGGAAGGATTTATTTAAACCTCATTATTGTTTGACTTTATATTTTTCAAAATTGTATGCTGTGAAGTCTTTGAAGTGGACTGTAGAATTTCTTAAAAATTTACCACTCAAGTCACTGTTTACTGTGATATCATTGTGTTTGAAGGAAATTTTAACTTTGATTAAAAAATGTTATGGTATGAAAAAGAAAATGTTTTAAAAAATTTGTTTCTAGTTGCTGACAAGATTTTGAAAAAGAAAGACTATCCTCTTTATATAAATCAACACTGCCATAGAGTCACTGTTTCTCCATACATAGAAACGCACTTGAGAAATTTTCAGGTAAGGTCATCTCCCTCCTTTCATTTTGGGAACTTACTGCTCCATCCCAACTGACAAAAAATAAAGAAAAAGTTGAGTCTGTTACTGTTGGAATCATATTAGTGGGGCTATCAAAACAGTTTATCCATGTCTGCTTGGTGCAGAATGAATTTGTCTTTTTAAATAATATTTTAATGTAAAACTATACCCTCCTGCACTTATCATGCACTTTTTAAAAACGGAAATTACTCAAAAAATGCCACAATCTTTATTTTTCTATGTGGAAACATAGCTACATTTCTCTCATGTGTCTACTGCCATTAGGCATTAAAAATAATTCTTCCTGATCATTTTCTCTGAATTCATTATTTTTACCCCAAACCTTCCTTTTTCTGTTCCTACTCAGGTATTAAATGGCACCACCATCTGCCTCGTCCACCGACCTGAAGGCTAGAACTCATGCTTACCTCTTTGTTCTGCTTCACCTTCAACATTCATTTGATCACTGTAACAATAACGATCCTGATGTCTGCACCTCTGCCTCCCTTCCTGGCTGGTCTTTTGTCCATAGACTTGCCTTCCTCTCCTCTGTTCTTCATGACGCCACTGGAGTTACCTCCTGAAACTCACATCCCACTCCGAGGTCTTCTTGCTTAAAAAATCTTCTTGATGCTCCTTGTCTCTCCTAAGATAAAGCCCAAAATATTAAGCGGAGCTTATAAATGTAAAGTTTTGCACCTCAAAGCTCTTAGAAAACTTCCTGTTTATCTTTTTTATTTCCCTTCTTAGGTGTTTTCAGGAATATCTGAGAGGACAGTGCTTCTGACGGGAATGGAAGACCTTCAGATGATGGATGAAGAGATTGTAGAGGATTTACTTAACATTCACTTTCAACGGGAGAAGAATGGAGGTGGAGAAGTAGATGTAGTCAAATGTTCTCTAGGTGAAGCCCGCATAGCATATTTTGAAGAAGAGGCTCATGGAATCATATGAAAATTAGAGCTACTGGGTCCAAATCATTATCAGTGTTTGACAAAAATGAATATCTGTTTTCCTGAAAAAAAATGACACTTAAAAATTTTTTAGTGTCCATTTATTCTTAGATACAAAATAAATTTCCATGTCTTTGAATTTTTTTGTTTCAAACTGTGCTGCATGTTTATAAATCTAATAAGCGCACTGTATTAAGAACAATTTTGTTCATAAATTATGTGGATTGGTGCCACATCCACTGAAATCAAGCATAAATGATCCAAATGTCCCCCTGCTGTGTTGGTTCCTTCTGTCATTGTGATGTGGGCCAATTTTGTTTTGGCCCCAGATCCAGCAGTACTCAGACTTGACTTTTAACCTACGTTTAGCAGTTTGTGATTTCTGTAGACTGTAATGAATTTTCAAGGGACTTCAAGAGCAATCATTTCCCACTCCACAGCTCCAAAGGTGTGGTCTTTTTCCTGAACTTCCCACAGTGCCAAAGGTCCTCTGATTACTTCCAAGACATCCCCTCTTCAGACAGAAATTGTAAAGAAAGAAAGAATTTTCTCTTTTACACTTACAATAGAAAGAGTAAGTTGGAGGGCATAAAATCCTTGGAATGAAGAGAGAGCTAAGTGCCAAGCTGATATCTCATCACTCATCATACCAGATGCTGGGGAATTCCTGAAAGTAAAAACACAGTACCTGCCCTTTATGGTCTTAACATTTAGTTGGAGAGAGACCTAGTTTATTAGCATTCCACTGTTTTTAATTTGCAAAAACTTTAGATGGTAAAATTTAAGATTCCTATTCAGGGAAGTTAAAATTATCTTTGGTAAAGAACGTTTGGACAACTTCTTCCCTAATATGGTATGTTTCATAAAGAGCCAACAGCAAAATTAAATGCATATTAAAATGCTGGCAACAAGGGGGGAGCCTAGTAAACATAATGTTCTGCATGTAATTGTAGATTAATGATAACAAAATAAATAAAAAAATAAAATGCTGGCAACAGTAAAATGCTTTTAGAAAAGATTCTAAACTTAAATCTATCCAATGTTGCATACTATTTAAAATAAAGGAAAAGCTAAAAAAAAAAAATAAGAAAGTTGGTTTTGCTTCTGATACTTTATTTTTAGGTTCTAAAGTTGTTATGCTACCATCAGAGGTACTCATTACTTTCACATTTCTCTTTGGAACAAGAGATCGTACCTAAAAACTGGGCCACTTATAGTTAATCTTCATATTCCCTGTTTTAGAGGAAAAAAATCTCTTATTGTATCAGTTATTCTTTGGAAATACTATTTCAAGCTCCCCAAAATATTAAGAAAAAAACGCTGAAGAATCTTATTTAATTTCAATGGGTACAGTCTCACTAACAGTGTGTCATTTTTAGTCCATGGCAGACTGCCAGTCAGAATTTGTTCCTTATGTATAGAAAAAGTTTTGAAACAGTCATTTTTGTTTCCTTTGGGGGGCCTTCTCCAGAAAGTAAAGTTAATTTCATTGAATTCTAAATTTTCATAGTGGTTTTTCGTAACTGTTACTTATCTTAGAAAATCATACTTTTCCCTTGGGTTTATTTAGCCATTCCACCCATGTGTGATCTGGCTTGATCTCAGAAATCAAGCATTGGCTCTCCTGCTTATTTCTAGAGTTTTAGAGATTTTACAGGAGGAAAATTATCTTTGAAATTTTACAAAAGATACTGTATTGATTATTTAACATACTATATATTGAATTAGGAAGCCTTAAATTGTATGTTCAGGATGAGATAGCTCTGCTTAAAGTGTAAACAGACACTGTCAATATATAAACCAGGAAAGATAGATGTATGGGATTATAAGTCCCTCTTGCCATTTGTAGATTTATCAGTCAAGACAGGCTAGGTTTTGCTGTGGTAACAAACAACCTCTGAAAACACAAAGGCCTAAGAAAATGAAAGTTTAGTGCTTATTTGCACTGAATGTCCAACCCAGGTTGGTAGGGGACTCTGTCCTAAGCAGCTAAGGTCCTATCTGGAGATGTGCTTCCAGAATCGTGAAGGTGGGGAAAGTGAAGTCTGGAGAGTCTTGAACCAGCAGTTAAATGCTGTGACCCAAAAGTGACCCATGTCATTTTCTCTGTTTCATTGGCTAGAAATAGTCACATAGCCTCATTGAGCCATAAGGGGATCAGAAAAGTCTGTGTTGTGAAAATAAGGAGAACCAGAATAATGAGCATACTCTGTCCTGTCCTAGTGGTCATCAATGTTTGGATTGCTCTTTTCACACACAAGATAGACTCACATCGCATCCCCCAAGGGGACAAACTAAAAATTCCATGAAATAATGGCATCACACTCAAAAGTGCATGAACTTCAGGTAATAATGTGGTAGTTTCTATATCAAGTCTGAATGTTATTCTTTATCCAGACACCCTCAGGACATAGTGGTGGAACTGGAATAAGGTTTTCAAATTTGGAAAGGGGAAGAATGGGGGCACAAAGCAGTTACTGTGCCAAAGCCATCCTGAAATCCATCAGTAGGTGTGTTCTCCCTCCCTCCATGTGAAATTTTGATTAGGCTGTGATTCCACTTCCTTGTAATTCTTCTGCTCATTGTTCTCCCAACTCATGGACATTCTTTTCCCCCCCATTACTCTCCTTGGCCATTCAAATGGACATTGGAAATACATCCTTCTTGGAGACTGAAAAGCTTCCTCACTCAGTATACTTCTAATGACCAGTGTTTGGGACCAAAGTTTTTAAAGGTTTGAATAGTCATAGTCTCTTTATTCCTGCTCATGGCTGTTTAGCTGGTACAATTAAAAAACTTGATAGGCTTCTTAACTTATTCTGGTCAGTTTACATGTATGTACTGTTACACACTCTTTTTTCTGGACTTTTTTTGAGTTGCTATGATTCTCTGCTTTCTTGGCCCCGTTCTTCTGTCCCTCTCTTCACTTAATTGTGGGAACTTTTTGCATATTGGGCCTTATAGTTTCTTTTTGCTGAACCAGTTTGTCCAGTTGGAAGGGTTTATTGAATTGCACAACCTCAACTGGTGTTTTTGCTCTGAGGGACCTTAATCTGTTGAGAGATTTCAGCCCCAGTTTGATCATTTAATTTGACCCGCGTTGTAAAGCAGGGTTCTAATCACTCTTTGTTACTCAAGGATCCTCTCAGTTTTATCATTTGAGAATGAGTTAAAGGGTTACTTCTGATTCTACAAGTTTCCATATTTCTGGGCTTTCTCTATTCCTTTTCGTTCCTGCTTTCAAACTGGCCAATTCTTTTTTCTAAGCTCATTCATTTCTTTCTTATATTACTTTGTCAAATGAACCAAATAATAACAGCCAATAATAACAGTTGTTTTTCACACTCCTGTTTTTAAAAATTACAAGCTAATGTATATTATCTGCCTTCCAAACTATCACAAGTGACAGTTTTGCCAAATATTTTTCCACTATATAATATAGATTGACATTCTTCTAATCTCTAATAACTTTTCTAATCACCTGCTACTTGGCCCCTAATCTAAAACCACGTGTTTTAGATTGTGTTGTGCCTTTTGGCTATCACAATACTCAAGAACACCCATTTCTATACCAATCAGGATAGACTATGTGATGCTGATGTGACTAATTATCTCTAAATTTCATAGATCGGAAACAAAAGTTTACTTCTTGCTCATGCTACATGTCTATGATGGGTTAACAAAAAGAATGCTCATGGAAGATACTCAGGGACCCAGGCTAATGGCAGCCACCATCTTCCTTGCTGGATGCTGTATCAGAGGAAAAGAGCTTTGAAGGGTCTTGAACTGATAATTACATTTTTGGTCCAGAAATACCTCTTGCATTTACACCTCAACCAGAACTAAATATATGGCTTCACCCAATCACAAAGGAACTTGGATATTGAATCCTATCATATGCTTGGAAGGCAGAAAGCCAAACTGTGTAATGAATAATGATCTCCAGTTGGTATTCAAAAATAAAAATATGTTCATTCTTGAAAGACAGACAACGTATAATGAAGATAAAAAAAGTCACCAAAAATCCACTCTCAGAGATATAATGATAAACAATTTTATATTCCCTCTTCCAAAAACCGTTCTCAGCTCCATCACATTCCATCTTGTGAATATGCCCTCTGTTATTATGTCCTTGTAGTTGGACATAAAGTTTGCTTCCAATTTTTTCACACCTTAAAGTTCTATGATGAACATAAACTCTTGTATATCCTGGTGTACAATTTTTTTTTCCTGCAATACTGGTCTTATTTCCAGGTGATAATTACTATGTTGATAAGTTGAAGGATATACTCTTTAAGGAACTTCATACTGTTAAAAAGAGAACCACAGGCCCAAAGATGGTTTCACACATGCTAAGGCCCTGTGTCAGGGAACCAAGGCTTAATACCTAAAGTGACAGCAGTTCCAGCTCCACTCCCACCCTCACCTGCCGACCCCCTGCAGGAATGTAACCCTTAACCAGTCTACACAGAATTTCCTGGTCAGTACTAGGAACTTTACTGATAGACCATTTCTGTCGCCTTCAGGCAGGGTGACCCTGCCTAAAACAATGGATCCTTTGATAATTTCCTTTTCTCTGCTCCCTTTCTTTTAAAAACCTTTTCCTCATTTCACCAGAGCATCTCTCTACTTGGTAGAGGGGATGCTGCCCAATTTAGCAGCATAGAATTGCTTAGGGGGTGGGTGGGTGGAAATGATGAGGGGGATAAAGGGGCACAAAATTTCTCAATCATAATGTAGGTTGGTCACGGGGATGTTAGTACAGCACAGATATTGGGGGAACATTGTGTATTTTCCTTGGTTCTTATCCCTGCCACAACAAAGAATTGAAGGGCAGAGACACAGTAGTGAAGCAGAGTAAAAGTTTTATTTAAAGTTACTTAAAGAGAGATCAGGTGCAGGCAACCTCAGAGAGAGAGAGAGAGAGAAAGAGAGACAGAGAGAGAGAGAGAAGTGCCCTGAAAAGTTTAAGCTTTATTTAAAGAGAGCAAGTGCACACTTGGAGAAAGGGGAGTATGAGCTACCTCATAGAAGAGGCACGCTGGAAGGTTGGGGTACATTTTTAAGGCTATGCACTTAGAAAGTGCAGGCAACCTCAGAGAGAGGAGCACACTGAAAGGCTTAGGGTCTGGGGTTTTATAGGCAGTTGAAGATTTTCAGGAAAGCAACAAAGGGCCAGATGCGGACTGGCCAAATTGTCCCAGAATGTTCATCTTTGATAAGGCATTAAGTTTCCTTCTTTTTTTTTTTTTTAACTTAACACAAGAAATTTCCTCTTTGATTCCTTTCCAGGATATCAGCTTCTATCTGGAAGCATATCAATCAAGACTGTCTGCCCTGCCTCCAAGGTGGGCTGAGCCACTGTCCCTCTGATTGAAATGCAATCTTAGCTTTAAGATAGAATTCTTCCTGAATAAGCTGGGCCTTTGAGCAGGCTAAAGTAAATCTTACAATGGTGTGTTCTAATTGACACAGTGAAAACATAGGCTATGCTGAGATACTTTTCTTTATTTAGGGAGTATTCAAACTTCTAGGCCAAGTTGCTCCTGGCCTTCGAGCTTTTTATTTATAACTGATTAACTCTTTGAGTCCCTTCTAGTGGGCTTACTGGCCTTTTTCTCTTTCCACCCCGCTCATATCTATTTTCCTGCCTAACAGAGAATATAGCCAATGTTTCTGTAATATCTTCCTGTGTTGACAGACAGTAGCTATACCAGCGGAGGTAAGAATTTAATAATATGGGTAACTGTTGAAACACTGTGTTCTATACTTGAACTAAGATAAGTCTGTATATCAAGAAAAAGCAAGAATAATGGCTTAATAAAGCCAGTTAGTTCTTTAAATTTACTCGGTTAAATTTTGTTTTTTTAATAATACATATGGCTACCATTGCTTTCCAGAAAGGTAAGCATTGGTCTGTACTTTTACTAATAGTGCAATAAACTCATTGTTCCCTCTCAGCACTGAGTACTACTCCTATAAAAATGATTCTTTTTATTTATTTTGTTACTTTTTTTTTTTTTATTTCATAATGTATGCCACATCTTGTGAAAATAGAGGTGGAACATGCAGTAACAGGTTTTATTTTTGAT